GCCCTGCCGAATTCATTGCCGCCAACATCGTCGCCGACCGTCGGCGATCGCCGCGGTCTTATCCAAGCGGCGGCAGAAAGCACGCAGTTGCCGCTGTCGCCAGCTAGGGGGCTGACCCTCTCGACCGCCCCCCTTTCCGCTGCGCGGGGCCGACCTGCCCGGCCAGAGCGGCGCGCCCATCTGAGGCCACGCCTTCAATGCGTATTCAAGGCCAGATGCGCGTTGAAATTCTTGGATTACGCGCAGAAGACCGAGCGCCTGGGCCATCGTAGGTACTTTGAGTAGGGTTTTGTCGAAGTTGAGCACGATGCCGTGGATGCCGCGCCCGGCGGCGTTGCCGCGCAGTTGAGCCAGCGCGCGGTCCTCCCTTTGGCTGAGAATCGCGGCGGCCCCGCTGAATTTCGGAGATGGTTTGTCGCGGTGTCAAGCCATGCGGTCGCGACGTGAGTGGCCATTCAAAATGCGCCCCACGCCGTCGGCAATCTCCGCGCCGAGCTGCAGCTCGCGCGGGGGCGCCACCTGGGGGGGGGGCCCTCTCCACGCCCCCCCCCCCCCCCTCCGCACCGTACTTCTCGCCCCCATCCTTTGCACATGTGCGCCCTCGCCTCCCCCCGCTGGGAGCTCTCTGCCGCCCCTCGCGGATGCCCCCCCCCCCCGCAGTTATCCGAAGGCTTGTGGGCGTGCCCCGCAGAATGCCTTCATGAGCTCCACATTTGCGTCGTCGAGGCCGACGCCGCATTGCTCTGCCAGGAATGCCCGCCATGCCCCGCAGCGCTCGCACGTCAGCATTATCATCGGGCAGGGGGCCCTCGCGTCGGACAGCAGCACTGCTGAGAAGAGCAGCGGGTGGAAGCAAGGCGCGCCCGCGTCCGCGCTGTCCGCCCCGAAGGCGGCCCTCTTCGTTCCCCTCGCCAGCTTCTGACTTGCAGGGCCCTCTGCGAACAACCGTCTATATGGAGGTACGCGGCGATGCCCCGCCGCGGCCGGCGGCGCGCCCCCGGCCTCCGCATCCGCAGCGCGCCACTTGATGCATGCGTCGAGCATGCCCTGGCAGCGATTGATGCCCTTGGCGGAGCGCCCCTGAAACCCTGCCACGTCTGGAAACCCGATAACTTCAACTCGGTCTGCCCTGCAGCCCCTCCGCCGCTGCGCCGCGGGCTGCGCCGCGTGCCCGAGGCTCGACCTGTCCGAATGACTCAAGTACCATATGATGCCATTCCACTGCCCCGTCGGTCGCCCACTCCTCCAAGCGGTCGAGATGCGCCCACGTGCGCCCCCCAATCGGGCAGGGCACCGAAGACCTCAGCGCCTCCGCGCTCGCCGATCAGGCCAGCCGTGCGAGCGTAATCCAACTGCAACGTCTGGGCGACGTTGGTGTCCGACTGGCGAAACAGTGGGAGCTGCGCCTTCTCGATCTCCCCCGCGAGGTTCTGGGAGTTGACCCGATTCCTCCTGCGGGAGCCAGTCTCGCCACGGAGGGGCCTTATCTTATTGGTCACAGACTCATTGATGAAGGGGCGCATGGGCGCGTTAGCGCGAGCGTCTGCAGCAATCTTGTCGCGCGCGTCGGTCTTCGCTCTCCCGCGCGGGGGGCGCGGGGCTCTGGGTCGCCCGGGGGGGGGGGGGGGGGCAGGAGGCAGAGGGGGAAGACGGCGACGACAGCGGCGAGGACGATGGCGAGGAGGTGGGGGACTCCCGACAGGAGGGTGGTTTCTTTTCTTCCTCTCTTTCGTTTGTTCTCTCGTCATCTGTTCCACTCTCTTCGTCATTCTATCTCTCTCTCTCTTTCTCTCTTTCTCTCTCTCTCTCTCTCTCCTTCTCTCTCCCCCTCCCTCTATTTATTTTTCGCTCTCTCTCTCTCTCTCTCTCTCTCTCTCTCTCTCTCTCTCTCTCCCTCTCTCTCTCTTTCTCTCTCTCTCTCTCTTTCTCCTCTCTCCAACTTGCTCTCTCTTCTGCCCCTTCTCTCTCTCTTTCTTTTTCTCCTTTCTCTTTTTTATTTTTCTTCTCTTCTCTCTCTCCGCCTCCTCTCCTCTCTCTCCTCTCCCTCTCTCCCTCCCTTCTCTTCTCTACTCTCTCTCTCTCCCTCTCTCTCTCTCTCCCTCTCTCTCTCTCATCCTCTCTTCTCTCTCTCTTCTCTATCTTTGTCTCTCTCTCTATCTCCTCTCTCTCCCCTCTGCCCTCTCTCCTTGTGCCTCTCTCTCTCTCCTCTCCTTCTATCTTCTCTATGTTTTCACTCTCTCTTCTTCTTTCTTTATTTTTTTTTTTTCTCCTCTCTCCCTCTCGCTCTCCTTTTCGCTCGCCCCTCTCTCTCCCCTCTCTCTCTCTCTCTTGTTTCCTCTTCTCTTCTCTCTCTCTCTCTCCTTCTTTTTCTCTGTTCTCCTCGTTCTCTCTCTCTTCTCGCTTCTTCTCTCTCTCTATCTCACTCTCTCTCTCCTCTCTCTCTCTTTTTTTTTTTCTCTCTCACTCTCTCTCTCTTCTCTTCTCTCACTATCAATAAATATATTATAATCTCTCTCTAGGTATATATTATTTCTCTCTCTCTCTCTCTCTCTCTCTCTACTCTCAGTTTTTTTTTTTTTTTTTTTTTTGTTTTTTTTTTTTTTTTTTTTTTTTTTTTTTTTTGCCTGTCTCTGCTCTTCTATCTCCCTGTTTCGCTCCTCTCCTCTCTCTCCTCTCTCTCTCTCTCTCCTTCTCTCCTCGCTCTCTCTCTCTATCTATCTTTTCTCCTCTTCTCTCTTCTCTATCTCTTTCCCTCTCTCTCTTCTCTCTCTCTACTCTCTCTCTCTCTCTCGCTCTCTTCTCTCTCTCCCTCTCTCTCTCCTCTCATCTCTCTCCTCCTCTCTATCTTCTCTTCTTCTTCTTCCGCCCCTCTTCTACATCCTCGTCGCCCCAGTCTTAGCGCGATCATCGCACCCCCCCCCCCCCCCCCCCGAGCATCGCGAAGGTTTTTTCTTTTCTTTCGTTCCTTCGTTCTCGGGCGAGGACGAGGGGAAGGGCAAGGGGGAGGAGGTGGGGCTCGGCGATCCAGATGCCCACGGAGCTTCTTGGTTCAACCAGAGAACTCGGAGCAAGCAGAGGTCCAGAGAAGTATCTGAGGCAACCAGAGGTCTTGGAGCAAGCAGGGATCCACGGAGTTCTGGGAGCAAGCGGAGGTCCAGAGAGAACCGCGATGCGAACCGCAGAGGTCCAGAACGAGCCACAAGGGCCTATCGGCACGGATGCCGCACCATGCGCACATCATTTTCGGTTGATATTATGTTTAGGCTTCAGGAGCTCAGGATTTCAATTGTCTGCGGTGGCTTGGTGGGGGCGCAGTGCGCAGGGGCTTCCTGCGCGCGTGGAAGGGTTTTGCCAGCGCGAGCAGGCCGGCGGAGAAGCAACTGGGCTCGGCATTGTTGGCAGTGGCGCGCGAGCTCTCCGCGCGAGATGCTCGCCGAGAGTTCCTGCGTGACCCCCCCCCCGGGATCCATCCGGCGCGCCGCCCTCGGAGTCGCGTCTCGCGTCTGCGACTTTGTCAGGGCGCCTCGCCTTCGAACGCCAGCTCGCTTCTTTCTTCCCCCTCAGGTGAAGGAGCCCGGCCCGCGCGGGCCTTGCCGCGGCCCCGCGGCATTCGCGCTTGGGCCGCCACGCGCCCAGGCGCAAATCCGCAGGCCCCCCTCCCCGCAAACAGGGCGCTGCGGCGCAGGCCGCGTGGATGGAGGGTCTCGCGGCGGAGTGGCGCGCAATTGTAGAAACTGGCCGTCCGCTACACCGATGCCGCTGGGGATCAGATTGGATGCTTGGAGTTCCACCCATGGGATACGCTGGCTGCGTTGGAGAAGCAATTTGTCGCAGTGGGCACATGGCAGGGCGAGACTTGGATCCCGCCCGAGTGGACTTGCGCGGCAATCAAGCCGCGCCTGCGCGACCACGTCAGCCGCGATGGCTCCTTTGCGCAAAGCCTGCGCGCCATGGCCAAGAAGCGCTTAGACGGGCCCCGCTTCGCCGAGGACAACAAGGCGCGGCGTGGGAATTGGGCGCCGCGGCGCGGCGACATGCCCGGCGCCCTCGAGAAGGCGTGCGACGGCGGGGCCCGTCGAGGTTCTACGCCGGAGCCGCACTCGCGAGGCGTTGCGCTCAGCGACGCATACCTGAACGAGAGCTGGAAGGAGGCGCCGAAGAGCCCCAGCAACGATTGCTACTTCAGGGTTCCCCACCCCTGCAAATGGACAGACGTCGCGCTTGCAGATGCGGGCGTTGACCCCGCGGCTTGGGAGAGTGAGCTCACGCGGTTCATGGAGGGTCTTTACTATGGCAACGAGAATGTGAGCAATCTGGAATTCGCGCTCCTTGAATTGGCCTTCGCGCGGATGTGCGGCGGCAAGATGAAGCTTAAGATCGGCTCTGGTGGCGACGGCAAGCACGCGGGGGCCGCGCTCGGACAGAACCTGCAGGGTTCCGGGAACAGCCATTACATGAGTCGCGGCTGCCTCCAGGAGCGAAGCGAGTTCAGGAAGAGCCACGGCGTGGCATGGCATAAAACCATCGTGCGCATGCAGGAGATGAATTGCGCGGCTCGTTTGCTGTCCGACATTTGGAATTTTCCTGCGGATCTGGTGCGCGCCCTTCTTTCTCAAGCATTCCGAGGCCGATATCGAGACCATGATCGTCGACCTGTCAGGTCGCAAGGAACCCCCCTGGGGGCGACAGCGCCATCGGATTCTCAAGTGGTCAGCCAAAAGATGTGCGCGGCGTCGAGGCGAGAATCCTGTCTTCGACAAACTGTGCGCGGCGCCGAAGCGAGAGTGTGATTTTTGAGAAATGATGTTTTGAAAACCTCCACCCCAGACTCTCCCGGCCTCACCCCTGCACCCTTGCACATTCGGTCCATCCTTCACCCCTTCCCATGGCCAGCCGCACTCGAGAAGCTTCGAATCGGCGCCCAAAGGGGCGTCCATCCTTGTCGCGCACCCTTGTTATTCGTTTTCGCTGCAAGACCCTCTTTCTTTGTCGTCGCCCAGGCGGACACGACGCCGACGCCGTGAGCCCGCCGCCCCGCCGCTCCCCAGCCCCGTGGGCCTGTGCCCGCTCGCCGGCAGGGGGCTGCCTGTGCTCTTGCGCGCCCGCGCGTCGCGCGGGGGCCACGGCCAGTCGCTCGAGGGCAGCTGCTCGCGCTGTGGCAAACAAAAGTCGGCGGCGAGCCCGGGCAGCCGCGAGCGCGCCGGGGGCGCGACCACGCGCCGGCGTCTCGGGCCGCCGGTGGAGCAGCTCGTCGGAGGTCTGGGGCGCCGGCGCGACGAACCTAGAACCCGTCGCGCTGTGAGGGAGTCGCGCGATGGGAGGCGTTTCCTCTTTTTTGCGGCCTCCATCGGGGCCTTTCCCGGGCCTCGGGGCCGTCAGGAAACGACTCGGGATGAAGAGCTGGTCCCGAGGGCGGGAGGGGGTCCGGACCTTTGGGGGTCGGCGATGTGGAAAAGCCACGGCGCCGGGGGTCTGGGCGCGAGTGCTCTTCGCGGCTGCGAGCGCAGAGGGGGGTCAGCCACGCGCAGAAGGGGGTGGGGGGAGGGGGGAGGGCTTCTTAGAAGCACCCCTGCTTCTTAGAAGGCGCGGGCCTTATCTATAGATGTAAGGCCGGCGCTTTCTAAGAAGCAGCCTGCTTCTAAGAAGCTCTCCCCCCTACCCCCACCCCCTTTGTGCGCGCCGCCAAGGGGGGGGAGCCCCACCGGGGGGGGAGTGCTGAGGCCGCTCCCGGCCCACTCGACATCGGTAGTTCGGTGCGCGTCGTCGCCTCGTGCCGACCCGCGGCGAGCCCGGCGCGGGTGCTCGCGGTGGAGCGCCGCCGTCGGCCCTGAGTCCGAGGACGATCGGACGCTTCGGTAAACTACTCGGCATCGTTCGACAGATCCCACTCCCCATCCCCGTCTTCATCACTCGGGCCGGACGAAAGGGGGGGATTGGGAAAGGGGTGGCTACGAAATCTGCTGCATGCAGCTGGTTTCGGCCCCACCGAGGGGCTCATGCCTCGATGCATTGCCGCCTCCGGCGCCGGGAGGCGCCGGGAGAATCAGCTGCGCCAGGTGATCCTCAAACCCCCCCTTTGCTATCCCCCCTTGCGCCCGACCCGATCCTCCCGAGCCCCACCACTCCACCAATCCCAGTCGGGGATGTGCCCTCCGGTGCGAGACGGGAGCACAGCCTCATCTCCCCTATCTGGGGGGGTGCCTCGGCCAGGGGGGCCCCGACCGCGCCAGTGGGGGGACGGGGGTCGGCGAAAAGCGGTGCTCAAAACCACCCGGTCGGTCAAGGCTGGGCGGTTGCAGCGCCGGGGTCGGCACGACGCGAGCCTGCCGTGGACATCGACTAGACGTAAGAGTGAACTTTCGCCGGAGTGACCTTTGGTGCGGGCTCAATGGGGCCCCCCGATCTCCGAACGCGAGGCGGCAGTGGCGTCTTGCGCACCCGCGGCCCCCAAAAAGCCGCGCACCAAAGGTCACTCTTACCCAGGGTCGCTCTTGCGTGTAGCCGAAGTGGAGGCAGGAGGCGCGGAGCGGCGCCGCGGTCACAGAAGCGTCAAGCCGTGGCGAGGCGTCCTGGCTCGCCCGTAGACCCACCAAAGGATGTTCATGCCCGCCGAACATTTCTGGCTGAGGGTGTCTTGTTTTGACACGTTGGGCTCATGGTCTAAGAGCATTTTGTTTTGCTTTTGGAGCAGTTTGGGGCTCTGAGAACACGTCGCGGTAGGCCTGTTGGAATGTGTGCGCGCGTGCGTATGCCTAGCGGCTCTTAAATGGGACACATCGCACAGAGATTTCGAGGACCTCGGGGACACTGCACTTCGCGCCTCGAGGCACGATGGCCTTACACGTCTGTGCACGTGTGCGCGCGTGCCGCATCCCTGCGTATGCCGGCGTGGACCTCCGGCAGGGCGCGTGCTCGCGCCGTGGAGGCGCCTGGCCTGCACGCACGAGCGGGGGCCCGAGGCCACGACGGGCGGAGGGCCGCGGCGGGAGCTCATGGGGCGGCAAGGTTCAGGAGGGGAAAAAACACACGCAGACACCATTAATCGTCGATCCCCCCGAAAAGATGGGAGAATGTGGGAAGTGGGGGGGAAGACAGAAACCCAGAAAAGATAGGATAGTATATAGGGATTTGTTTTACGTGCGTGTACTTATTTGTGTGTCCCAGGGCCCCTTCAAAGGTGGTAGAGGCAGAGCAGCAGTCGACCACCGGGGGGTGCGCGAGGCGTCCCCTGTGCGGCCACGGGCACCCCCCGGCCGAAAGTTCCCGAAGAGTTGTGCGGGCCAGCGCGCGACGCGGCCGCGGGGCACGGGGCCTGCCACGGGGCTCGGTGCCGCGAAGGCTCCGCAGGAGCTCCTCTTTGAAGGCGTTGCCCATCAGTCGTTGAAAGTAGGTAGTTTTGGGGTCCGCATTCCAATCTACTTCACCCCCGCCTTCCAACTTCAATGACCGAGTGGCGTCACCTTTTTCCGTCCTTCTTTGGGGGCGGATGGAACCTAGTCCATTTTCAACGCCTTCCTACTTCATGTGTCTGCATACTTCTCCCGACCAATGGACAATGGGGAACGAATGGTTTTAGCATGCGGCGCGGGGATTCGGGACGGGAGGCTGTGCGTGCTGCGTCAGTGGTGCGTCTTGGGCTGCATCTGGTCCTGCTCCCTCTTGCGCCTCCCTCGCCTCCCTTCACGGGCCTCGCCGCATCGTCGAAGTGATCCAGCAGTACAGTCGGGGCCCTGAAGAAGGAACCCTTTTGGTTGGGGAGGGGCTCCGCGTTCCCTCAGTGTTTCACAGCTTGCCTCAGGTTTTCCTTATGTTTTCCGATCGGAATGGAGAAAAGGGGCCTCGTTCCTTATTTAGGGTTCCTTAGGTCAACGCCCCGACTGTAGTCGACGAGAGCAAACAGACAGCAAAAGCATACAGTTTTCGGAGGCCCCGGGGGTCTGCTTGGGTCGGCGCTGGGCCTCCTCCCTGGCGCGCGAGGCGCGCCGGCCTCCGTCAACGCCAGGGGGGGTCCCAGCGCCGATCGCAGAGGTCGGCGCGGACTTCCGAAGAGTTGTGGATGTGCAGTTCGGGGGCGGAAAAGAGGGGGGTGATGACTAGGGGGGGGTGGATGTCATGGCGTGGGCCATGATATCTCCCCAGATTTCATGGCGCCTCTTCTTATTTCATTACGTCCCTGGACCCTCGCTGGGCCGCGCACGTGCCGCCGGTCATGATTTGCACCCCCCCCTCTTGGACACCCCCCTCTTGGCCGCTCCCGAGCGGTGGCTTCTCATGCTTCTGGCTGCGCAGAGAATTCACAGGCCGAAGAATGATCGAGAAACCCTTCTGCGAGCGTGCTGCCTACAATGGTGGCCATGCAATCCCGTAAGGCTATCAAAAAGGGCCCCTTTGTGACCCCCTGGCGACAGCTGCCGTTGCCCGGGGAGGAGAGATGGGGGGAGGAGCGAGGCGGACCGGCAACGTCACGAATCGCGCCAGCGCTGTCTGGGATTGAGCTACCACTGAATTCGCCAATGGGGCGACGAGGAAACACGGGTCGACAGTGGCGTGCAAGCTCCCCGCGTCAGGTCGGGCGTGAGCGCCTCAGTCTCCGAGGTGGCGTGCCGCGCCCGCGGGTCCGCGCAGTAGGCCGCGTCGGGTCGCCACGTCTTCTCGCGCAAGGCCCGTGTCTGATCGTGGCGTTCAGATCGACGAGGGTTGTGGGTACCGATCCAGCTCTTACAGAACAAGATCATCTAGAGTTCGCTCCGCCTCCAAGGGGATCCTACTAAGGCTGGATCTACTTCGAATAAGACCCTTATCGGGCTGGATCCAGCTTGATGCAATCCTACTCGGGCTCGACCCACCTCTGGCGCGGGCGCGAGCCGTGACGCTGCCAGGCGCAAGGGCGGAGCCGGGGGGGGGCCTCCGCAGTGGCGGCCGTCGTCGCGGGTCGTGGCGAGGCGCTCTCATGAGATGTCCTTGTCCGGCTCGCACATCTGCCGCCCAGCAAACCACCCCGACACAACCCGAAGGCCCCGATGTGCCCTCCATCTCCATTGGGGGGGGAGGTCGGGGCACACTGGCAGAAGCACGCGTGGGTCCTGCCGCCCCCCCCACCCCGACCCGAAAATTCAGGTCTTCGGGTCAGGTTGGGTGGCCTGGTAGGTAGTCGCACATCTGCCTTGTTTGTCTCTGCATCTCGCCGCGCTCGCGCTGCCTTCACACCGCCGGGCCCCCCCCCGACAGCCCCGGCCCCCGAGGCCCGTTGCGCTGGTGCGGGGAGGTGGTGCTGCCGCGGCGGCGGTGAACGCCGCAGCGGTCGCGCGGCTCCTCTCGGACAGGCCCCTCCCTGGGAGGGGCAGCCTGCTCCTGCTGCTCCTGCTCCTACCCACTCCCTCCCTGCTTCTCCTGCTCGTTCTCCTCCTCCTCCTCCTCATCCTCCTCCTCCTCCTCCTCATCATCATCATCATCATCATCATCATCATCATCATCATCATCATCATCATCATCCCCCCTCCGCCTCCGCCTCCTGTGTGATCTTGCGGTCTGCTCAGTCATCGAAATGTTGCGCCAGAAGGGTGCATCGCCGTCCCCTCCGCCGCCTCCACCGTCTCCTCCGCCTCCCGTTCCTCCTCACGGCCACGGAGAGCGCTGCAAGGCCAGGCGGTTGGGAAGGGGGCGGGAGCGAGTGGCCACCTTATCCTTTTCCGTTTCTACGACAGCACGTGCTCCGCGTGGCCGCAATCCGCACGGCGGCCCCGCGGTGGCCTGCCGCGGGAGCCGGCGAGAGAGCCCCCTTTGCAACACCTGCGCGAGAGAGTGCTGCGGCCCCCCGCGCGCCCCGCCCCCCCAAAAAAGAGCGAGCTTGGCATCGCTCGGACGTGTGCACTTTTCCTTCGGCGAGGACCATCGAGGAGCATCCTGGATCATTTGGCGAAACAAACACGCACGAAACCCAAAAAAACACAGGGAATGGACGTCCGAGCGATGGCCAGCGAGCGCAGGGAGCGAGAGAGAGGCACGCGACGCGCCTCCTTCGCCG